CTGGGCAAAGAACAAAATAATATCCCAGGCTGTATGGTGGTTTAGTCATATGTTTGTGGTGTGTGTGGCAGGGTGTAGGGTCAAGGCTGCCCAGAGGAGGGGATTTGAGGACAGCCCCAAGAGGATCCCTGGAGAGTTAGCTCATTGCGGGCAAGGGTCCTGTCCATCTCATTCCTGACATAGCGCATGGTACCTGGTAGACCCTCAGCAAGGGCTGTTGAAGGGAGGAGGAAGGAGAGGAGAAGAGTGGAAGAGGGAGAGGAGTGAGAGAATAAAGGAGGGAAAGAATGCAGGACAGAAAATGGGGAGAGGCATTTCAGAGGTGCCAGTGCAGAGGAAGAGGTGGGTGATACCTGGGGACAGTGACAGCACAGGGCTCTGAACAGGAGAATGAAGCTAGGGCTGGAAGGGCCATGGTAGGCAGTAAGAATGCGAATTTGTTCTCTGGCATGGGAAACAGGGAAAGGGAAGGATATATGGGGAAGGGTAGAAGTGGGATCCTAGGCAGGGGGCTTGTTTGAGAACTGCTAATGTAGTAACACTAGAGTAGGGTGTGGCCCTCCAGTTTGTAGATAGGAACAGAGAGCTGGGGCAGGTAGATGAGCCAGCCTGTGGGATCCTGCCCTGAGCCCAGTGGCTGGGCTGTACAGTCAGGCTGTGCCACCACTGTCTTCTGGGAACCTGCTGGAGGAGTGGAAATGGGGCTTTCTCCCAGTAGGCCTCTGAATGTCTAGTTCATCCCTCCTTCCCCTTCTGCAGGCTCTACCATCCTGGCAGAGCGAGGCATCCCATCACTCCCCTGCTCCCCAGCCTCCACACCAACTTCACCCAGTGCGCTGGGCAGCCGCCTTTCCGACCCCTTGCTCAGCACATGCAGCTCTGGACCTCTGGGCAGCTCTGCTGGCGGTAAGTAGGCTGGTGCCTCCGGTTCCATGATGTCTGTGCCAGACCTACCACTCTAAGCCTCTGTATCAGAGGCTTGCAGCCTCTGTATCAGGGCTCAGACCCTGGAGGACCTGGCATGGGCTCAGTGAACCCTTGCTGGGTGGCAGTTTCTGGGGTGTGTCCCACCCTGCCCCTAGCTGGGTACCTTTTTCCAGCAGACTTAACACAGGGAACACCAAAGGATAACTCAGGAGGGGCCTGCTTTATAAGATCTCAGGCCCCCTTCCTTCTTCCATCCCTCCATGGACACCCTGGCCCTGGGTCTGCATCCCGGGGGTCCAGAAGGATTGCCCAGAGTGTGTGCTCTTCCCTCTTGTGCCCAGGTTGGGTGGTCAGGGTAGACAGGCAGATACCTGTAAATGGGGGTGGAGACAAGAGGCCAGGGGTCTCTCTTCCCATAAACTGAGGCAAGGCCGGGCCCTGCCTTCCCTTGACTGATGTCCCCTTACCCCCAGGGACAGCCCCCAACTCGCCGGTGAGCCTACCTGAGTCACCAGTGACCCCAGGCACGGGCCAGTGGAGTGATGAGTGCACCATTTGCTATGAGCATGCGGTGGACACGGTCATCTACACATGTGGCCACATGTGTCTCTGCTATGCCTGCGGTCTGCGCCTCAAGAAGGCTGTGCACGCCTGCTGCCCCATCTGCCGCCGCCCCATCAAGGACATCATCAAGACCTACCGTAGCTCCTAGCCCGCCGTGGTGCCCCACCCACACGCCCGCCGCCTCGGACTTCAGCCTAGCTCAGGAGAGGGCCAGGCCCTTCTCTTCTTCCTCATTTTGGAAACTTTAACCTTCTCCATTAAACATGGGAAACCGAGGCCCCTGAAGGTCTGGGGAGAAGGAGGGTATTAGGCATGGAGGTGGGGAAAGCAGCCGATTGCCTGGCAGAGGGGAGGGGAGGAGTCCACACTCTCCCTCTTTTCCATCTCTGCACCAGCTCTTCCCTGCATGCTGAGGGGCTAAACTGGGGTCTCAGCCCATCCTTATACTTCCTCATCTGGGGCAGATTTCTTGGAGGTCCCTCTAGCCCACTTGGCACCTTTGTGAGAATTAGAAAATGTATCCCTTCCTCTGGGCAGATGCGTTCCTGAGCCAGGGCTTGTAGCCTGGCCAGTGGAGTATATATGGACTGGACTTCAGCTTCCATTTGTTCCCTTAGCCAACTGCTCTTGAGCATTGCACAACCTTCTCAACAGCAGCCCTGGGAAGGCAGCCCTTGAGCTGCTGCCTTACTCTCTGACCTATATACCCACGTTCTTCCTCTCTTACCTGCCCCTTGGGCCTGGCAGCCAAGGGTACAAAGGCCAGTGGGTTCTTCTCACACTAGGCAGGCTGCAGCCTCCATGCCATGTCCCTCTCCCATTCACCAAGGATGGGTGGATGGATAGGTGACAGAAGACTCCAAGTTCTGGGTCCCTGGCCCCATTCCCTGGCAGAGATTTGGAGGGCCCCTTCCTGGCCATAGCCTTTCTGCCCCAAGCATCTCGCTGGATGCTGCCACCCTGGAAGCGGGGTCTCCGTTCTCTCAGAGTCTCTAAGGACAGGTTTGCATCTGTGACCTGTTCTCCTATAGCTCATTGCTATCTTGGACCTGGCTGAGAGGCTGTCATGTCTCCAGGAGAGGCCAGGGCCCTGGGTTAAGGGTGGCAGAGTGGGTGTAGGGGAGTTCCCTACTGTAAGACCAGCCTTCTTCTCTATTTTTATTTATTTATTTATTTGGTTTGTGGGGTTTTTTTGGGGGGGAGGGTTCACATCCCTTGGACTCCTAGAAATGCTGCTATTGTGTGTGGGGTGCCTAGTGAGAGGAGGCACCAAAGGTTGTCATTAATCTCCCCCAGACCAGCTCAGCTTACCATGAATTAGAACTCTATAAAAAGGGGCTGTATTGGGAGGCCTCCTGGCAAATTGTGTCCATTTTATAGAGAGACAAACTGAGCCTCCTTAATGTCCTGGGGGTGGTGGGTCGGCCAGAACCATGGAGTGCCCTCCTCCTTGGGCTGGAGCAGGGCTATCATAGTTGGCTTCAGTATATCCAGAGTCCCAGGAGCTCCCCACCTCACAAGGACATAAAAAGTTGTGGGAAGGTTGAGGGAGTAGAGCTCAGCTTGCCCCAGGGAACAGAGCTGGGGGAGCCTAGTCATAGTAGGGGCAGGAGAGGCTTAGGAGAAGCTGTTCTTAGGCTCTCCACCCCCAGGAAAGGTAGGAAGGGAAGGGGCTGGGTCCCAGCACCTCTGGGCTCTTACTCCTGGTTCTGGGGGCGGGAGTGACCCCCACCTGCTCTTGGACTACAGTCAGCTCAGCCTTGCCTGCCCTGTCCTGATAGGCTGTGGGTGGGGCCAGCTGTCTGAGCTTTGGCCTAGTCAACCCCCAGCCTCCCAGCCCTCTGCCCACTCAGGTGGCTTTTTGCGCCTGTCAGAATGCTTCTCCAAGTAGCTGGCAGAGCATGGGATTCTAGACCTGGCCATTGACTAGCTGTGTGTCCCTGGCCAGGTCATAGCCTCTCTGAGCTGCCACCTCCTGTAAAATGATTGCTTGGGGATGTGTGTGACTTAAGGGTTCTCTGGTGAGGGGCTGCTACAAGGTGGGGTGGTGGGACAGCCCTGGGGGTCAGGACACCAGCTGGGCCTTTGTCTGCTCCTGTCTTTGAGTGGGCCTTTGAGAAGTTGTGGTTCCAATATAGGTCTGTACTCCCCATTTACCCCAGGGACCCCCTTCTGTGGGAACGGGGTGGGGTAGGGCAGATGGTGGCTCCGTCTAGTCAGGGGTCCCATCTCAGAGGCCAGGCAAGGCCTTAAGTGCCAGGGACTGTCTGGCCTGAGGGCTGGGAGAGGGAGCCATCTGTCCCATTGTCTGTTAGTGGGGGGATAGTTGCTGCCTCCTCTGTGAACTTGGGTCGGTGTGATTGTGAATAAAGGTGATTTCGTACGAGCCGATGGGCTATGGTCTGCAGTGTGGCGGCTGGAGAGGGTGTGTGTGTGTGTGTGTGGCGGAGGATCAGGTGTCCTGGATATGGAGGGAAGTCAACAATCAGGGGCAACTGCCTGGAGTTGGGGGGCTGGAGCATGACCTGCCTGGAGTTGGGGGGCTGGAGCATGACCTGGGGCTTGGACAGGTAAGGGCCAGAATGCCAGGTGAGCCTTGTAAGTTGAAAGGGAGAAGCCACCGCCCTTTGGTGGCCTCAGGTCTAGGGTCTGTGAGGGGCAGTGTTGGTTGGGGCAGGAGCAGCTGGAATCAATGAGGCCTGCTCAGCTTCCTCTTAAGGTTGAGCTGGGCCCGCACCTGGCCCACCCTTTTTGGGTGGCAGCGCCACCTAGGGGCTGATGGCTGGGTGACAGGCCCTCCACTCTAGTCTGCCAGAGGCTGTGCTGTGCTCTGCAGGACCAGGACCTCCCCCTCCCTGGCCCCAGGCCCACCGGTACTCCCACTGGTGGGTAAGGAGGCCTACACGAAATGGGTGGCACAGCTGGGCAGTAAAGGGAAGCCTCTGGCCAGGGACCTTTAGGGAACTGTCCTGGGTGTGTGGAGTACATCTGTTTGGCTGCAAAAGCTAGAGGCACAATTTGGTAATCATGCTCATTTGGTGGGGCTGCCTCAGAGACACATGGGATGGCCCCCTTCCTGCCCTCTGCCCTGGGGGGGGATGCTCTGGCTGCCCAGCCTCTGCCTAGCCTTTAATATCTGTGGGCTGCTCCATATATCAGGACTGCCCAGCCCTGTTTACTGGCGTCTAGCAAAAGTAGGGGAGGGTTGGCTCCAAGCCGAGGGTCCTGTTAGGTCCATTGAATGTGGGCCTTTGGTCCTAAGGTCTCTATCTCTTTTGAAGCCTTGGCTACTGCCCTGGAAGCCTCCCAAAGGTGGATAATGGGGGGAAGAGCCTGGACACGATTTTCACCAATAACAGTGGGACTTTACCTGCCTCCCCCAGATCTCCAATATTCACAGAGGGTCCTGGATCCTGCAGGTCATACTGCATTTGGGATAATCTGGCTTTTGCCACTCAGATGCATGGGTTTTCTGGTGGCAGGGAGAATTAAGAAGTGATTCTCTTCAGTTAAAAAGGCCAAAAACTTTATTTAGTTTTCAGGGAAATACAAGATGCATGTAAACATAACCAAAATACAAAACAAAACAACTCAAATCTTATGGTCTAGAAGCATGCCAAGACAGAGTATTTTCTGCAGACCAAAGAGTCCCGTCAAAATGATAAAGGACACCTGGAAAGTGGCAGGCCAAAGGGCTGGGTCCCTTCTCCCAAGGAAACTGCATTTTGTGAGGAGAACAATTAAAAAAAAAAGCCACTATTAAGAATATTAGAAACATGGGGATAGTTTAGCACCACCATTGATCTGGGAAATTTTTTAGCACTCAAACTGATTGCACTGAATTCAATGTCCTTTCTCTTCTGACGGGAGAAGAGGGAACTACTTTCTCCTGAGCCCTTGAGGAGCTGGGAGGCGTTAGACACCAAGAGGAAGTCCCCCAAAGTCCTGGAGCCCTAGAGAGACCCGGCAGTTGACACACAACCACACAGTCTACAAACTCAAACTTCGGGGACTTGCCGCATCTCCTTCATGCAGAAGTTACCTTCCTGCAGACCTCTCAGTAACTGGCAGTAAAACCCTTTTCCTATCTTGTGTCCTGGATTTAAAGAAAACCTGTTGTAGAAAACAAGTTGCAGATTCAAGAACGGTGGCTCTGTTTACCCTTCTTTCTTTGAAATAAACTTAAGAGCAGTGTGCCTTGGTCATAGGCCATTAAGAATGAAAGGGCACATCCACAGGGGAGTGTGCACTGTGCCCCATGTAAGGCAGCCCAGCGAGGCAGCTCAGCAAATGAATAACCACAGGTATCATCAAAGATACTCAGCAACAACTAGTGACAACAGAACAAATGAGCTTGCCTTCCTCCCATATATACTTGATGCTGTCTGGACCCCAAGGTGCCAGTTTTGGGGTGGGTGGGTCCTTAATTCTTTAGTAATGTGGATGGTTCTCTTTCCACAGAGCTCTACATCGAGATTCTCCAAGACTGGACACATAGATATATAAACTCTGAGATACCCCCACACAAGGACATAGTCCCATTCTGGGCTTGTAGATCCATATTTGTACAGACGTTCAATGGTCACTGGTCTCTGATTCAAGCAATTTGAGAAGCTGGCTCTGGATTGGACAAGGTGGGGTGGTCAAAACCAGCTGGGAACCTGGGAGATGGGTAAGTGTTCTGACGCTAGAGCCTCCCACCTCAAGGATCGGTCTGTTGTTGGTGACCTCTCCTTTCCACTAAGTGCATCAATGACCATTAAGAACTTGCTAGGGACCCAGTTTGTGGCTCAGCAAGTAGCTGTTTCTGCAGGCTAGCTACTTCTATCAGCCCAAATCTTGGGGCTTTCCCAACCTGCTCTGGCTGGTCCCTTGGGTACTGAATCACTAAATTCCCTCCCTACCTGCTCTCTTCTTCCTAAAACACTCAGAATTGACTTCTTTCTTTCTAATAAAGACAAGCCACCTGACTCCAAACCCTTTCTCAGACTCCTCACACTTTTCCCTTTCTGCCTAGAAGACATCATCTCCTGGAAGCCACCATCCCAGACTAGGGGCTATAAGCCCCAGCCACCGCAACATGCACACACTAGCTTGCTGACATGCCTCTCACTCACTTCCAACGTGCTCAACCCATTCTTTTGCTTTAAAACAATTGTTCCTCCCTCTCATCTCCAGCCCATCAGCTAGGATGAACTGGAAGCAAACAATGGACTTCAGCACAGGGACCCATTCTCTAAGGCCACTGAGTTCTAGGACTGGGATGGGAGAGCGCGCTGATTGTCAAGGTCAAGTGCGAACTCAAGATTTAAAATACAGGATTGGGGAAGGGGGATCACATGGTAATCCCAACCTCATAGGCAGGCTGGGATCAGGCCTTGGAAGGGAGATCCCTTTACCCAGTCTGTATGCACCAACATGCTCAACTTCTGGCCTGGGGACCCAGGTGCACAGGACAAAACAAGAGGGAAGCTAAATCAGTGGGGCTGTTTTCCTGAAACGAGGTTATAGGTCATTGACCCCATCAGAGCTTAACCACAGAAGCTGCCCCAGAGATCATGATTTTGGCAAAAAGGTCAGGAAGGTTAGAACATTTCCCATGATGCACATTCATCTTTCCACAGTCAGGTCTGCTGAGCTCACCAGGAGCAAGTTCTCACCCTGAGCAGCCTGAACCACACTCAAAACACAAGGACTGAGGGCAGCAGTGGTGTATTACATGGGGACCTCCACAGTGATGGCATGCAGGACAGTGGGGGAGGCAGCCTGGAGACAACACAGCCTGGCGGTGACCTGCTGCTGCAACCTCAGCACTTCCACATCCAGTGGCCTCACTTTTCCACATCTTCAGTATGGACCCCGGGACGATGGCCTAGGCTGCTTCTGCTAGATCTGTTAATGCCAGTGTGAAATTTCCAACTAAATACTTAATAATTACAAGAAAAAAGAAAAAAGAACAAAACACATTGCACTCTCCAGCCAGAACTATGTGTGTGAACAGCACACACACTTGCTGCCAGAAGCTGTGAGTCCCATGGGGCCTGCCCAATGCCAAGAACTTGTTCGTGGAGACAGCTTGCCCAGTATTTTTTTTCTCTAACCCCGTGTTATTTAGTTCAAGTGGGAAATTACCAACACTCGCGCACGCGTGCGCGCGCACGCGCACACACACACACACACACACACACACACACACACACACACAGAAAAGCACTTTCTGAACACATGACCCTCAAAAAAGTGAGGGAATCTTAATTCTTTAGTGATGTGGTTGGTTCTCTTTCCAGAGAGCTCTGCATCGAGATTCTCAGACTGGACACACAGATGTATATACTGAGACACCCCACCAGGGACACAGCCCCCCTCTGGGCTTGTAGATCCATATTTGTACAGAAATTCAAACAGAGGGGTTGGAGCAGCAAGTGTACAGTACTAGAGGTGGAGGGGACAAGCCACCAAGGACGTCCCTGTCGCCTTGAGGGGCAGAGCTCTAAGGGCTTGGACCCTGAGACTTCCCATCCTGCTGCTTTCTCTACCGGCACCAAGTTAGGAGGCCGGCTTGGTACCTGTTGTGGGAAGTCCTGTCAGCAGGGACCTAAGTGGGCCTCAGGTGCTTCTCCGAGACCCTCCGGGGACTGCCGGGATGTTCAGCAGAGGCGGGGCTCACTCCTCAGCTGAAGGCATTGAGATGAATGGGTGGCCCGGGCTCAGCACGAGACCCAGAGCAGGCTTGTGGAAACTCGTGTCTCACTGGGGTGTGTAGGGCTCAAGGCGCCCACATCCCCAAAAAGGATTTGGTTATACCTAGGGTTCCTGCCCATAAACCGAACTGAGGTTATGTAGTTTTAGAAAGACTCAACATACATCAAAAGGATCATGGCCCAAACATCGGGAGACTGGGGTGAGAGAGGGCTGCTGGGTGACTTTTAGGACAGGGCTTTCTGAGCAGCTGGCTGAAAACAACATGAAAACAAGGAATGATTCCTGGATGTCCTTGCTCCTCTCAGAGGGCTGGGGCCCTGGGAGGCCAGCAGCCCCATGCCACTTCCCTGAATCCCTTTTTCTGGGTGGATGACACCCAACAGAAAAGGGGCTGCCCTCTGGTGGTGGGGAACCCCTGCCATCTGCCAGGAAAGAGGGAGAGGGGAGGAGGGGTAAAAATCAATACCCAGGAGGTCAACTGTTCCACTGCTAGGACTCCTCCCAGCAGCCCCTCCTGCCTGCCTCCCTCTACCGACAGACTGGGCCACTGGATCTCCTGCCACTGTCCCAGTAAGCGCTGGCATCCCTCTTGAATATTGCACTTTTCCTGTCTCTCAGATTGTTTTCATTTTCGGTTGAGAATGCAAAGTATTTGGAGGGAGTAGGGGAAGTGAGTAACCTTAAAGAAATAATATATTAGTTAAATACAAAAACAGGAAAAGTAGGGGTTACTTTATCTTTTTTCCCCCTTAAACTACCAAATCGAGTTCTAAACTTAAATAGTTCTACACCTACTCTGCAAATACTAGTAATATGAAAATAATGCTTGACCGAAAATTCCCTTGTCTTTTTCCTTAGATGATAAAAGTAGTAACATGCCTTGCTGAGGAAAGCGATGGATATAAATGCCAGTAAAATATGCTGCTCTAACATCTGAAACTGATTAGAACGATTCTATATAATGCCTTCGTCAAGATGGAGAGCTAAGGAGTAGGAGAAGGGAGGCCTCTGGGGCCAGGCTCGGAAGAGCAGGGAGGGAGGAAATGAAAACAAGGCCGGCAAGACGGCCCAGCCACAGCGAGGCACACAGATGGCACACTTGCTGTTCAGGGCTGCCCCTTCCAGGTCCCTCTTGCTGCCGCCAGGGTCTCTTGGCTTAGTGGGAACAGCATGGTGAAGCCAGGGAGCCCAGCCAGGCCTGCTGTCACAGTGGGAGAGATGAAGACATTTTTTTCCCTTGTAATTAAAAGAAAAAAGTCTTAAAACTGAAAGGAAAAAAGCACCAAATGATGCATCTTCAGGCATTATATAAACCTCAATAATGACCTCAGAAGGGCTCATTATATTAAAGTTGCAGTATACAGCAATACATGTCATTTCACATTTTCAATCGCAACTAATGGAAAACTAGGTTTGGACACTGCTGAGATTTCATTTTTCTTTTTCCTTTTTTAGTCCGATCTGGTTTTCCTCCAGATGGGTCTGAGCCATAGGCCTCTCCCTTCTCCACCCGCTGCAGGCAGTACCCTCCATCGCAAAGCAGCTCAGTAGCTTTAGGGAAGGCTCTCTTGCCCTGGCTAGGGCTAGGAGTCCAGGGGCACAAGGCCTGGCATCCCCTGGCCATGTCTGAGAGGGACTGGCATGCACCCTTCTTGCTTCAAGTATCAATATTCTCTTTGGGTTTGCAGGGTTTGTGCTGTGCTGTACATTAGGGGGTGATGGTGAGGGGTGAGGGGTGGAGACGGGGCCTAGCAATCCCTGGTCCCTGCCCAAATGTACATGCTGTCACCAGGTGGCAACATTTCTCCACTTTTCTTGGATGCCTGAGCAACTCCCCGGCCATCCTTAGGGCTGGATGGCACAGTGTAAACATGATGACCACATGATAAACTATAATGGGGCGGGAAGGAGTGCAAGGATTGCCGCAGGGGGGGCGGTCCCGTCCTAGCTGTGTGATTTTGGGAAAGTCATTTCCTGTCCTTGGGCTGCAGGAACAGGAGGGGATGGGATGGAGTGACTTTCAGGCTCATGACTCTCTCTTAGAGCACTGGGGATTGAGGAGATAGGGTCCTTGGGGGTTGGAAGAATGTGGTCCTTGTGAGCAGAGAGTCCCACAGGCAGTGCAGACAGCGAGGAAGGGCAGGGAAAGGCAGGCTCTGGGGAGCACTGTGGTCCAGTCCAACTGAGATGCTGTGCTTGACAGGTGCGTCCTGCACTCCTTTCCTGGCCTGGCTGGCAGGTCATTGATTGAACTGGCTCAGTGCAGATGTTTGAGGAGTGAGGCCGTAGGGCCCTCCCCCTTGGAAGATAGCTACGTGGAAGGTCCTTTAACCCGACAGTCACTCTACTTTTAAATCTTATTTTAAATAATCATAAATTACTTTTTTTTCTTTCAATAAATATGTGCTGTTTAAAAATGAGAAAAGTATATACTGCATCTTTAAGTAATGCACTTTGCTCTCTGGGTTTCTTTCCATTCCACCTTATTAAAGTGCATTAATTAAAAAATAATGAACCACTTCTTTATCATTATTGTTCAAATAAGTCCAAATAATATTAATATGAAGATACTAAACCACTACCATTAGTACTGCAATCTAGCAGATTAACTCAACATCCTGCTCTATTTAATACTGTCCAGCAGAAAATAACTAATTTCAGTTTTAACAAACTCACAAAAAAGGAAACGAAATCTTACCATGGCCCTTCAACAAAGAACATGAGCAGTTGGCTATAGCTGCCAGACATCAGTGTATGGCGGGGGAGGCGGGCTCAGGGGAATCCCCAGGCAAGGCCCCAGGGATCTGGGGGGCAGGTGGGTATCAACAGCTAGAGACGCTGGGTCCCGTGCTGATCATCAGGCAGCATATCCTGCCTGGGTGGGGAACAGGGGTGGATGGGGGGGGCCTTTCCTCATTCGTAGAAAATAACCCTTAGTCCAGGATTCTGGCAGCTGAATCGGTGGCTGTGAAGCCCGCTCTGTCCAAAAGCAAAGGCACGTGTGGAGATCCACTCCCAGCAAAGAGTGAGTCCTTGGGGAAGCTGCTTCGGCTTCTGGAGGGTCCCCTTTGAAACATCAACGATCGAAGGACACAACCCAACATTGACAGAGACTTTATTCTCTCCCTTCTCTCTTCACAGGGGCACTGCCCCTCAGGAAAACCAGATCGCCTCCCGGCCTGGGGATCCTCCATTTTCTCGGGCAACTGTGGTATTGTTTGCAGGCCGGTGGGGTGGCGGTGGTGTTTGATCAGCTGGAGTCCCCTCAGCCCTTGGGGGGGGCAATGGCTGCTTCTCCCCAGTTCACGTGTAAGGCTTTGGTCCTGCCCAGTGGGAGAATGTTTGCAGAATGACGCTCACCCAGCAGCCTGCAAACTGCCTTGTTTCCTGAACAGTGCCCTCCTCCCTCCTGGGGAGGGTCCGCCCCACCGAGGTAGGGTAAGAACCAGAAGAGCAGTCTCTCTGCTTTGCCATGCCTGGGACCTGGGGCTTCTCCAGCCTCCAATCCCTCCAGCAAGCGCCATGCTCAGGTACTGTCCACACAGTGGAAACCAAATGAAACGACTTTGACTTGTGGAGGGGAAGCATGTTGGACATAAACAAAACCAACAACCTCCCCAGAGACAGAAGAGCCTTATCCACCACCCACACTGTCCCTCATGAGGCTGACGGCCCTTAGGCTCCCAAACAACCCCTAAAATAAGACCAAAACCCAAAGCCCGACGCAGAAGATCCAAGTCAATAAACCTCTCCCAAAGTATGCAAAGAACTGCCACCGAGAAATATCCCAAATAAAGCCAGTGCAGAATGTGGAGAATGGGGCCTCGCCCACCCGTGCTGTAACCCCTGGGGCTGGTGGTCTCCACAGGTGCCCTGGGCAGGGCAGGCTCGCTCCTCAAGGCCAGGGGCAGTGACAGCTAAGAAAGGTAGTCCTTCCTGGACCCCGGGCATCTGCTCTCTCTCCAGCTCACTGACACTGACAGTGGCCTGGCCCAGGGACAGGCTGAGCTCACAGGAGATGCCTCCAAGCCCCAGAGCCAGCAGTGTCTTCTACCACACCCTTGTGGTGGGCAGTCACAATCCCTGGGAAACCAGCACAGTGCCCAAATACTGGTTAGGGTGATATAAAGGCTACCTTGGTGGCAAGATGCCAGCAACTGAAACCGGTCTACACAAGGGCAGGACATGGGAGGCCCCCACGACCACATCTTTTCCAGATTTGCAGCCAAGGCACAATTGGGACTTCCCACATGGCTTGTCCCAAATGGCACGGAGTCCATCAGTGAAGTCACCAAGGTGCCCTTGTGGGGCTCAGCTCTCTTGCTTTGGTCGCAGGCCCAGGGCTCCCCTGCTCATTCCCCTCCCTGCTCAGGGTGGGTCCCCACCAGACCCTACCCTCCAGCTTGGAGGGCCAGCATGGAGAGGAGCATCTCTGAGGTCACACATTCTGCAGGGTTTAAAGTTGTCCCCCCACCCCTCCCATTTTCCCTTTTCCTTCTGTCTTCATCTCACAGCTCATCCACACTAAGGCTGCCCACCCCTGCCCTGTTAGTTCTTTTTCTCCAGGTAGTTAGAAGGTACCCAGCCTTTGAAGGGCTTCACCCCATCCAGGATCTGGCAGTACCACCAGCCATTGGGGTTCCTCTCCAGGACTTCCATGGAGACTCCCTCCTGGAAGCCTGCTGTCTCCTCATCCCCCTCATAGTCCGCAATTGAGACATACACATCTTTGAGGTTGTTGTGGATGAACTGGGACTTCTCAATGGGCTTGGGGCGCACGGGGGACACGGGGATGCCATTGCGCTGGGTGGGCAGCAGAGGTGTGTCTGAGCCCTGGCTGGGGGCCCTTTCAGCCAGGCGGCCCTTGGGCTCGGCGGCAGCTGAGCGCGCAGTGCTGAAGGAGGAATTCCGGCGGACACCTCGGAGGCCATCGGTGGCCGTGAGCGACTCATTCCTCCTCAGAGCACAGGACAGGTTGCTGTCCTTGGGTGGTGGGGATGCGAACACTGACTGGGGCCTCACTGCCACCTGCCGCACACCGTTCCTCATCTTCACTGCCCCGGCAGCTGAGGTCTTGCTGAAGCCCCCGGGAGGCTTGGAGGGGATGGGGGGTGTGGCCCTCTTGTTCTGGTTGACGGTGTTCAGAGCTTGGACCCGCCTCTCGATCTTCTCCAGGCTGTCTGACTTGCCCTCGTGCTGCTTGCTCTTGCTGGTTATGGCGTCTGGCTCTTGGCCAGAGGGGTCAGGTTGCTCATTCTCGCCAAGCACCAAGTAGTGGGAAGGGGCCCAGCCCTCTAGCTCCCCAAACCTCACGTACCACCAGCCACTTTCCAGCTTCTCTAGCACCTGTACCTCCACGCCTGCGGGGAAGCTGATCTCTGAGTCCTGGACCTTCTGGTAGGCACTGCATGTCCTGTAGTTGGTGGCCTGCCCTTCCAGTCCCTTTTTGATGGGACAAGGGGATGTGGTAGCTGGGAGGGTGATGAGGTCAGCCGAGCCTCTCCTGGACCCCTCATTGGGACCTTCAAAGGCTGTCTTGGGGGGCAGCTCTGAATCCTCGCTCTTTGAGCCTGTGAGGCCACCCCGGAGCTGGCCTGTGGGTCTCAGCTGGCGCCGTAAAGTGCTAATGTCCATCTTCTCTTGACTTTGGGACTCTGTTCGGTTCAGGAATGGCTTGGGTCGGACTGATGGCTTGGCCCGGGCACAGGAAGTCAGGCCAGCCTTCAGCTCAGCATCCTTCTTTGCCCCCACCTTGGGAGTGCCACGGATGCCTGCGTCCGAGGCAGAACGAGGCTTCAGGTCGCCACTGTTCTTGGACAAGGAGGAGGAGGAGGAGGAGGAGGAGGAGGAGCAGGTGGTGTTGATGGTGATGGATGAGGAAAAGGAGGACGAGGAGTGGTTCTTCCCTAATTCTGCCTGGGCATTCTTCTCTACCTTGAGCTTCAGGAGTGATGACGATTTAGGGGAGCCTGATTTGGGGGAGTTTTTCCTGGCAAGGGACAGTGGGGAGCCCCCTGGGGAGTCACTGTCCCGGGAGGAGCATCTTGCTGACAAAGTGTCCTCTGCACATGGCCGGAAACCCTCGTTCTCGTAGATGGTTTCCTCTTCCAGAGCCACATCCTCCGAAGACCCCCCAACCCTGAAGTGGGCCCGCTGCAGCGAGGAGACAGGCGAGGGCCTGTGGGGCTGCGCGGGCTGCTTATCCCCTGCGCCGCTCTCCTCCGTGGGCTCCTCACTTGGCTCCGGCTCTGAGTCAAAGCCAAAGGCAGGGATGTCGTACTCGGGCTCCTCGTACCTGAGTTTCAGTGGGGAGTCCCGGCTCTCGCTGGCACCGGCTGGGCCCTCCTCGGCCTCCCTGGGCTTGCTGGGGGGCGCTGGCGGGGGGACCTTGGGTCTGGTCAGCGTGCTTGTACGACGGCTCAGGTTAGGCTTCTTGCGCTTATCAATGTATGATGCAGGGGCCCAGCCCTCCTTCTCACCGATCTGCACGTACCACCAGCCACCAGAGTTCTTATCGATGACCTGGGGGAACAGGATGGGCAGGCTAGTGAGTTGGGAGGATTGTTGGACCCTAAATTGTGCTGAGCTAACAGCCTCATACTTTGGCTTTAGCAGACATTATTTCCATTTTACAGATGAGCAAATTAAGCCACTGAGTAAGTGGCCCAGGACCCAATATGGTGAAGGATGGCCCAGAATTCAAACCCAGGGCTCTATCATCTCCTGGTTACGGGGGCTCCCCTCTCCAAGACTCTTTCTCCTGGTGTCCCAAGTCTCCATCAACACCGTGATCTAGCTGGCCTCCTCTACAGAACCCTACTTCTCTTCACCCTAAGCTACTGCATTTAGAAGATACTTAGAAGTGTTCCTAGTGCCTACAAACCCCAGCTTGCCAAGGACCCATATGTATAAAAGACAGCTATTCTCTCACTTCTGCTTTCCTCCTACCCCCAGTACTATTAGGTCCTCCCTTGGTGACCCTGGAGAGGGTCAAAAGAGAACGGGAAGATACAGGTGAGTTGAAGTGGGAGGAATAGTCTGAGGCCAGAGCTTCCCTGAGACCACCCCCTGGCATTTCCATGGCCTGATGGTCATTTCACTGCATGTGTAATCCCACTAGCTAAAAAGATTTGGGTTGAATGGTTTCTTGTGGGAAGGATGAGTGGCCTTCAATCATTTCCATGTTAGTATAAACTAATTCAAGAAGTTTCTTTCTTAACTGCTATTTTAGATTGACTAAAGGCCAGGAGAGTGGTAGAGACTGTGCTGCAGTTCATTTGGATTGGGGAACATAAAGGGAAGATAATCTTGGATTGTGGGAAAGTCCTGGAGAAAGAGGTACTGGGTAAGGAAAGAGGAAGCATGAAAAATATGGCACTAGGGGATGAGGGGCAAGGAAAGAAGAGAGGATAGAGACGGCCAAAGGCAGACTCTGCTGGAGACCAGCCCTCTGTAGCCCCCACTAAAAAATAAAGATTTTTTTTCCCATAGTTTAGTCCTTCCTATATTCCATCATTCACCCTGCCCATCTTGTACCTAAAATTCAAGCTCAGGTAGATCCTAAGTTCTGTTACATTATGAACTTTGGAGAGTCTTCCAGAAACTTAAGCACCATTGAAAGAAGACTTTCTTTGGAAATTTAATTCCAAATTCCAGACATGGGATTTAAAATATTCACATTGAGGGTATCAACTCTTCAACAGCCAGAGACTGCCCAATTACTCCACTGACAGTTTTACAGTATTAATTGGATTTAACTCCACTACTACACAGAACTACACAGGAGAAACAACCAAGCCACAGATCTTTCCAGCCCCTGGAATCCATGTTCAGTGTCAGCCCCAAAGCAGAATCTCATAAATGCTGGGCCTTAGGGTTGATCACTTCATTTTGCAGAACGAAATAATCAAAGCTTGTGGGGAGAAGTGACTCTCATTAAATGCCAGAGGTGGCTGTGGTGTGCACGTGGACAGAACCTGGGTTCCCGGTGAGCTTTGGCCACCTGAACCACATCCTCCCACCAACAGTACCTCCTACTGTGGATTCTGCAGAACTCTGGCCTCCAAGGTGCTCCTGGGAGAGGAAGGGGGCCAGGACCAAATGGGTTTGGGCAATGCTTCTTATTCTAGGCCCCTCTTAGAAAGGCACAGTGACATCCCCACACAAAGGCTTCGAAGCTCTGAAATTGAAACAATTGGCTGGATTTTGTTCAACCCACTGTCCTCCACCCTTATTTGGCCACAGAAGCCCTTCATTAAAAATGCCTCTGTTACAAGCTCTCGCAACAGGCTTTGGGGACTGCTGCTGTGAGGAAAGCGCTTGAGCACTGAGCTGGGGGTTCTGGTTCTGGTCCTGATGGTGGTGCTTACTAGCATCAGGCAAGTTCTCATCCTTGTGGGTCGTATCTGCACCTTTCCTGATGCCCACAGGAACGTCGCCAACAAGACACAAATGGGAAATGCGGCAGGTCTTTAACCAGCTTGAGTTAAAACCCTTAGCCTCACCGCCCAAGGCTCACCTCTGCTTTCTGTCCTCCGCGAAAGCTGATTCCATCAGAAATGCATGACTGGAATTCGGCAATGGTGTAGTACTCCACCTCAACGGAAGGGGGCTCTGGCGGCTTCGGCAGCTGGAACCCCTAAGGCCAAGAAGGACTCTATGAGCAAAGCCCTCCCGGTCAGGCTGGTAATAGAGGTGAGTGTGGTGGTACACCAGCTGCACAGCAGCTGACCTGAGGAAGCATCTATCACCTGAGTCTCAAGGTGCCTCCCCAAGAGATGGCTCTCCTGACCAGGCTGCTAATACCTACAATTCACTTGAGACTTGTCTGAGCTATCAAAATAAACATTTAGTAACACAGTAATCTCCTTCCTTACATCTCTGGAGGTCCAGTTTTCAGATGCCTCAATAACTAAGTCCCCAAATGAAAATTAAAAAGCAGAGAAATTGTTTTAACAAAGCTTGTGCATACTGCAGCATGGGAGAGGAGAGCCCTGTTCTGAAGCCTAAGGTGAAGGGCTGCAGGGGTGACATCTGACTGCAGAGGGAGTCAGGAAGCACAGCCATCTTTGGGTGGGGTGGGAGTGTAATGGGCCACTGAGTGAGATGAGAAGAGCCCTTGGTCAGTCATCACAAATGGTCAGTCAAGTGCTAAATAAAACTCAGGATCCTTTGCTCTGTGGGCGGGGTAAAACATGCTGGATAGACTGGTTTTTTTAGACCCTGGTACATCAATATCTAAGCATGACCTTCAAAGACACTTAGAATTTGGCTGCATCTCATGACTTTTGAGCCTCATTATTTATTTTCAAATGTATGTTGTGCACCCACTGGGTGCCAGACACTGGTCTAAGGCACTGGGCCAAACAATAGCAAACCAAAAGGACACCCCCTTGCCCTCATGGAGTGAACATTCTAGCATCACCAGGTCTCCACTCCAACCAAAATGGACTTGGTGCCTGCCTATTACTTCTAGTATGTCCTCGTATCATTTAAAGGGGTTAAAGCAAAACAAACAAAAAAGTGGGCGGGGAAGCAGCTGTGGTGTAATGGGAAGACCTCAAAAGGCCTCTGCCTTGCAGCTGGATACATGTGGGCACCAATCCCAGCTCAGCAACTCAACAGATGTGTGGCCTTGGCAAGGCCTGTGTTCTCCCTGAGCCTCAGTTTCCTCATCCACAAAATGGAATTAATAACAGGGTCATGAAGATTACTGATAATGTGCATAACTTCTAGCCAAGCCAGGGGCACAGGAAGAGCTCCTAAAATAAAAGCTGAAGCTCAACACTCCTCCTGAAACACCATCCTATTCCTCTGAACCTTCTTCATCCTTCAAGAGTTGGCAGGTCCTAATCTTGCCAGTCCCAGCAGTGAGCACAGTGAGCAAAGGCTGGGAGGAAGCTGGTTTGGAGGGACCGGGTATGATTCAGTCAACTTTCCCTGCCCTGGTGTCTGGCCCTGCGGCCGTGCATGTGAGCAGATGTGGCCCAGCCCTGGCCCAGCCCAGTCTGGCCCAGCCCCCTGGTCAGGTGGGATTCAGTTGGTCTGTGCTAGAAATAGCAGCCCTGCCACAGAAAACCCTGCAGTTGGTAAGTGTGGAAGGAATTACCCCATTCTTGCCAAAATCAAGTCTGCCTGAAAATAATCAGCTGGGGCTGAGAGAGATGGGAGGGAAGGAGAACTCCTGGAAAATGCAAGGGGAAAATGAGGCAGAAGCTCCCTTGGGACTGATGGCTGAGGCAAGGGCAGTCTCATCTCCAGGGGCCAAATCGTCAAAAATCCTGCTTATAGAAAGGCCCCTCTTCCAGCGGCTGCTGCTATCCCCCTCTCCGGGGCCGATATCACTGATCACAGTAACCCTTGCTGCGAAGCCCAGATGTGACTTCAGAAATCTTTTTCCACACAGTGCACCAGGGCGTCCTGCCAACAGTCACAGTTGACACAGGAAATGGAGACCCGATTGCCAGCCCTCCACACACATAATCTCATCTCGTCCTTATACTAGCCTGTGGAGATGGCTGGCTCTGACCCCATCTTACAGGTAAGGAGGGCAGTCAGCTGGCCCAGGATCCCGCTATTCCAAAGTTGTAGAGGTGGATGGAACCTCAATGCACGCCTAGCAGGCTTGGAGCCTCGTTTTTTCCAGCTTCCCTCTGCTCCTGGTAACAGTTATCTGTTCTCCAGCTCTCGGCCAGCCACTAGCACCACTGCCACCTCAAGCCCTAGCACCCTGAGTGCATATCTGCCTCCTGGATGGTCTGGACACCAGGACACCACACCCACAGAAGCAGGGATCCTGGCAGCACTGAGCCTCTTTCAGCTTTAGAGTAAGCCAGTCCTGGCCATTCACCCGCTCCCTGGAGGATGCTCACTGGGCTGCCCTCTGTGCTCCCAGGCTCTGGCAGCCACCACACCCACGGGGCATTCCCAAGCAAGGAAAGCAAAGCTGTAAAGTTTCCAGGCTCATGTGGACAGCAGCCCCATTTCCAGCCGCTGGCAATGCCGTGGCCGGACACTTTCTCCAGCCAGTCTAAATGTTTACGTCTGCCAGTGCAGTGGCTGGGATGCATTTATTTAGCTTTAGAGTGCCTTGCATTTTTTATTATAAACTATCTAGGTTCCTACAAAGGCTGGGATCCCCATCCCCAGGCTTCCTTCCCTGCCCCAGCCTCACAAAGCTGGGAGCCCCAGCAGGGCCTTAGGAAACCGCTGGACCAACAGGCTCTTCACTGAGACAGCCAGTTAGCTGGGCTGCTACAATGCATCCCTGGAAGAGGAATGAAAAAGCGAGCAGAGATTTAGCATACATACCAGACTGGATTCTCTGCGAGGTGGAGGCCTTGTCCTTAGGTTTGGGGAGCCTAGAAGAAGAAACACGGCTTCAGAAATCCCGGCCAGTGGGCATCAGGGCCTGGATCAGCCCGCACTAGGTGCTGGCTACTCTTGGTCCTGGGAAGTTCCTGGATCTGTCCCACATTTATGAAGGACCTATGCTCTCAGCCACTCTAGGAACTATAGAGTTAGGCTTCTTCACTGGGAAACCAGACCTGTAAGCTTCCTTGGCTGTGTTTTAGGGGATCCATGAACCCTCTAAAATGATGTGCATGTTTCAAGATGTCTGAACATGGAGACATTTTTCAGGGGAAAGGGTGGATAGCTCTACCAGATTAGGAGCAAGGACCATGACTGTTTTTCACTCACTACCAAATTCTTAGAAGCTAACACAATGCCAGACAAGAGTGAGCACCCAAAAAACACCTCCCAACTGAATGCCCAAAATGTCTCAGGCAAAAAAGCTAACTTAAACAAGTTCAAAACTAAACTAAAAAATAGCCTTCCTCCAGATTTTATGGATGGCTGGACACAGACAGAAGCTGGTCTCTCATAATATCAAACAGTTTATCCTTTAACCAGACACTGCTGAGCCAGAGATGGATAGGGATTTGGAGGGGGCCAGACAGCTGGGTTTCTCCTGTGACACTAGATGAAGGATATTCCTGAAAAATGCCCCTTAAAACCATTTGTGGACAGGTAAAGCCACCTCTTCCAAGGCTTTTAGGTTTCCAGTATCTGGTGGAAAGTGATAGGGAGGAGGGGTAAAGCCCAGAAAGACGTTTTGGCTGTTACTCCATAAAGTGGCCTTGCCTAGAGGGTCCACGTTTCACAGCCTGGAGGAATACACTTATCTACAAAGTGACCATTCCTGGCTCTCCACTGGAGGAGGGAATGCTACCAGCATGTATACTCATGTCATTTACCTCCAGTGGAGCATTTGGGAGGAATCACCTTGTCTACTTTTGTGATTATTATGAGACAAGCTGACAGAGTGAGGCTGGGGTCAGAGGCTGGTCTGTATCTCAGAAAGAAAATGGTATGGAGGACCTGCACACCCCTCTGGCTTTCCGTGCACCCATGACCACTCTATAAACAGCTTTGCAGTGAGGACCTAGGGGCCAGCGAGGCTCTTACTGATCTGGGCCCTCTGAGGGGCAATCCTGGCCACAGCTGGAGAACCCTGGGCCAGCTTGGACACGGTCCTCTCGGGGACCCCCAGGGCATTGCCGTTGGAGGCGTTGCAGAGGATGGGCAGGCTGATCTCTTTCTTGGTGATGGGGGCCTCGGGGCCCTCGCCTTCAGCTGGTGGAGTCTCCTTGTCTCCGGATGCCTTCTTGTTCAGCAGGTTACTGATCTCCATGATGTTCCCAATGATCTCCACTGGGCCTGCCAGATTCTTCTTCCGCATTGGCAGGTCATCCTTGGCTTTCTTCAAATAGGATGCTGGCGCCCAGCCCTCTTTGCCCAAGTATCTGTGGGGAGGGTGGGACATGGTGTCACTAGGGGGCTGATGCCTGACCTCACACTGCACTCCCAGGCCCCATCTCTCCTTGTCCAGCTGAGTCTCCTCTACCACGCTCTGCAAGACACCTGGCAATGCCACTGGTGGACAGGACAGCTAGAACACCATTTCTCCGCCTCCGTCTCCTGTTCTTTGCCTGATCCCTCTTGGTGTGGGCTCATTTTGCAAAGTCAGGCAAACATGAGACCATGAGATTAGAAGATTTCTTAAATTTTGAGTTGCCCAAAAGGTAGACTTCACAATGGCCTGCTATCTCATAATAGCAGAGGGCAATTCTAGAGCTAAGAAATGAGAACGTGTGAATGTAGTGTATATAGCTAAATACCCCATCATAAAGGGAAGTACAGTCAGAGAGGCGAAGAGGTAGCACAGGGGAGAGCTAGGAAACCAGCATCCTTGGTCTATGGTGCCTTGGACAAGTCCCCACCCTGGAGCTCAATTTTTTCTTCTTCTTCAAATACAGGAATAGAGTAACTGTAAAAGTTTATCCAGAAGGATAGACACATGGAGACCGACCAGAAAGATGTCTACAAAGAAGACGAGTGACCAGGTGGGGAAAGTATCTGCAGCGGTGGCAGACGGATCCAGTGCACAGAACAAGCCCACAAACAGATGAATGCTGAAGGTGACATTTCAAATTAGTGGGATACGGATGCATAATTTAATGACTGATTTGGGGATGACTGATTATCCAGTTAGAAAAAACAAGTGGAACCCTGGGCCTAAAACACAGAGCAAAATAAAAGAAGCAATTGTTCAGTATCTGCCTAATCTTTGGGAGTTGACAAAAGGCTTTCTAAATGGGACCCCAAAAGCCAAAGCCATAAATGAAGGACTAAAAGCACATGACTGGGTACAATCAGAACCTTTGGTACAGCAGACCAAACACAAAATGGAACAAGATGAAAACAAAACCAAAAACCTATAAACAAGAGCAAAAAGCAAATGACAGGGCTCACTTAATTTTAGGTGATTTGATGACTTCTGAAAACAAGCTTTTCCCTTTTTCCCCATGGCGTTGAGAGCTTCTACCCAAACCCCCTGGGAGTCTACTTCCTGGTCTGGCAGTTGCTGGCCAATACCCCCAAGTCTGTGTTGCAATGTCCCCGACTGCTCCCTGGGGACATATGGGTCTCTGGAATAAGCTCCTCCATTCCAGATGCCTGACAACCCCCCTCCCCTGCCTGCCCAGTATGGCCTTGTTCTTGGGTGCACATTAGGTGGGAGAAAAAAGGAGTATGAAAGCTGAAGTTTCTATCCATACGTCTCAGCTTTGCTGGAAAGCTCAGGTAGAAGGTGCTCACATCACAGGAATGTGCAGGCAGGCTGTCCCAAGCTCACCTGTCTGGCCCCCCATTTGGGACTAAAGGCAGACATCAGTGAACAAACAGATGCAAGTCAGAGGGCTTGCCTGGATTCCCAATGTTCTGGGTGCAGACATGTGCAGACTTTCTGGGGTGGATGGAAGCAATTGGTAAAGAGGCCTAATTGCACATATGAGCCAACAACCAAGGCTCAGAAAACAGAGCCAGTAGCAGAGCGTCGCACAGCTAGCTGTTGGCACCATCTGGCCCAGAATCTGGTGCTTCTCCTTCTTCAAGAAAAGATGAAGATGAACTGGCTGGACACTGCAGAACTTCTCTCATGAGGAGGCCATGGAGAGGCGGGGAGTGTGGTCTCCCGGGCATGACGGTCAGGTCTGCTCATTGCCCAGGGGCTCCTGTCTCAAGCCTTGTTGTGTCCCTTCAACGTTACATGGATAAAATTAGATTCCAGCAGAAAGAGGCAAGGGAATCAGCAGCGGCTGCGTGCGTCTGGGCCCAACTCTGCTCACATCTGCTATCCAGCTCTGGAGCTCAGAATGACTCCAGAGGGAAGGAAACGGGAAGCAGGAAGGAGAGAGAAGGAGGGTGTGTGTGTGTGTGTCTGTGTTGCAGGGGAGTGGGGAGGGGCAGTGGGGGGTGGTGGCAAGAAAGACAGGAAATGAGGATCAACACAGAGCTTGGAACGTTGGGTAATGGCATATTTAAGGGGGTGTCTGGCAGCTTTCTTAAGGTGGAATCTTTTCAGCAGGGTGTTCTCAGTTGAAGCTGCCTCTGGCTGAAGTGCTAGGCCATGGGGACAAGGCCTGACTGGAAGTGCCAGCTCAGAGTGACTTTGTTGGTCACTTTAGAAACTAATAAACCCTAGCAGCCTTGTAGAAAACCTCTAGGCAAGTGGTTTTGGTTACCAGCCTGCCAGAATGTTCACTGGCCTTCCTTTCCACATAGACTCATGGCTGTTGGATTTTGGGGTGGCTCTAGTTTCCACTGCTTAGAGAACATGAAAGTCTAGGGACAGTGGCTTCAGGCAACACATGTCCAGGCATGCAGTCCTGTCTCACCCAACAGGACAGAAAGGGACACTTCAGCCCTCCTGACCGGTATGCACGGGGCTGGGACAGGGACATCTATGGCCGGTCAGGCTACACTAAGGTTCAATCCCATGGGCCAGTGACCTGCATTCGACCTATCAGCTTTGACTAATCTTAACACCATCACGGTCTGCCATGGTCTGAGCTACTGTCTCACAGTGCCCGCGTCACCTGAGTCAATCCTGTCCCCTCTGTAGGACAGCTCAGAAATGCCTTCGCCCACAGTGGGTCTGGGGTTCCCAGGCAGTCCCCAGAGCCCACAGATACTGGACTATCTCTGTTTCTGGGTTATTGGTAGAGAAGAGAGAAAGTGGGCAAAATTACCACAGCTGAGCTGCTTCCAAAGAACCCCAAAACACGTCCTGTGAGCAAGGCCCCTGGAAGTGCCAGCTGGCCTCAGAGTCACAGGGCAGAAGGGACTGGAGGGTGGGACGTGGTAGGGGAGAGTGAAGCCCACAGGGTTTAGTTTGCTTCCAGGGGCATCAGGAAAGCTCCCCACTCCCAGCTGGGTTTCTCAGCTGGGAAGTGTGCTTAGGCTCTGGGAGGAGGAGGGGCAGAAAGAAGAGGCCTCTGAACTAGGCCTGAGTTGAGGCCTCACTTCTGCGCTGCGAACCAGCCCTGCACAGCAGAACAGCCCTGGACAAAGCCTGTATCTGGGGCCCCCTGTGCTGAGTGTGGGCAGCAGGGGCTGCCTGCTGGGACCTTAGTAAGGCCCGTGGATGCCAGCGCTCCAGAGCACTCCAGGCAGCCAAGGCCGGACACAGAAAACCAAATTCAGATGTGCTGGATGGACCCTTTTGGCAGATGCATAGGAAGGGACCACACCACTGTGCCTGCAAGCTGGGCCGCTGGGCCCCTCTGGCTGCAGCTCACTCAGGCTCTGCTTTCCTTGTCCCAGGAGAGAATCTGCACCGTGAGTACTCTGAGCTGCTCAGCTGTGCAGAGCTGAAGTAGCCAAGCCAGGACTGTGGGTGCAAAGCTTCAGTCAGTATCTACCTGCCAGCTGGTGCCTACAGCCCCTCTGCAGTCCGCTCTGCTAAGGGCCTGGGCCTTAGGGCATCTCACTCCTCTGCTGGGGCTCCTACCTGATGTACCACCAGCCCTCCAAATTCTTCCGGATCACCTCCACAGTGACTCCCTTCTCAAAGCCAATCTCATCCTTGCTCTGGCTGGTGTAAGGCTGCACAGTGATGTACTTTTCCTCTGTGGATGGTAGGCAAAATAAGAAAGACAATTATTTGAGGTTGGGTGCAGGTCCGCCTTCCTGTCTCCTCCTCCTCCCCTGGCCCTGGGCTTGGCTTCTTGTCCAGGTGCTCTGGGTCAGCCTCTGGCTCTTCCTGGGAAGTAAGGAGAAAAGGACCAGACCTCACTACTGCTCCCAGTATGTGTCAAAGCCAGTCAGGCCCCAGGTGGCTCAGCAAAGTCCTAAGCAGCATAGAGTTGGCTCTCCCAGTCTCCCAGCCCAGTAACAGCAGCCCAGCTGCTGGGATCTGGGGTCCTCAGCACCCCAGAAGCTCCATGGGCTGAGGGCAGGGCTAGGAGGAACCTGCCCCTTGAGGGGCCTGAGTCAAGAAGCTCCCTGAATCTGTGGAGGCCCCATAGCATGCCCTCCCCTTCTCTGAATGTGCTGTGCTTCTATCCATGTTCCAGAAATGCTCTCTGAGCCTTTCTCCCACCTCACCTCCTTAACTCCTCCCTGTCTGACCTTCCAAGAGCTCCAGGGGCACTTCCTCAGTGAAGCCTTTCTTAACTGCTAATCTGACCACCCTATCATGTAATTTCCCCATTCTAGGGGGCTGGTCATATGTGTCTCATTAAGACAAGGGTCCTGTGGTCAAATGAACAGTGGTAACACCAAGTACACCACCATCAGGCGGGACCTCATGGCGCCCCAAGTAGGCCTAGAGTACCTTCTGGAGGACAGTGTGCTGAGCTGAGCCCTCTGGGGAGGGTGACTGCGAGCCTTGTTCAGGGTTTCCCCAGGTGCTGGCAAAGAGGCACCTTGTGGGAGCTCAGAAGATGCTTGGGAGGGCAGGTGTGGCAGGCCAGGCAACGAGCGTCCTCCTGAATCCCTTAGCCTCTCTCTTGGCAGGGAGCCCTGCTGCCTCCACACGGGTCCCCGTTCAGGCTTCCACAGAGGTGCTTCCTCTGTGGCTGCTGGGGCCAGCTCTGCCTGTCCCTGGGAAGCCCCCGACAGCTAGGCCCACAGCTGGCAGGCCACAGACACCCTGACTCCTGGTGGAAGCCTCCCCAGGGGAGCACTCGGGCATCAGGAAGGAGCACAGGTCTCCGCCCTCACCCCCTGGGAGAAGAGGAGAAAGCTGGGGAGAAGAGAAGAGGGTGGAAGCTGGCCACCTAGCCACACCCTTTGGGAGGGCACCCTGAGCCTATACTGTCCCCTCTGGCTTGGGTGCTCCCCAGGCACTGAAACTGCCTGTCACACATAGGAGCTCCAAAGGGACTCATGTCATGGGTGAAGAGAAAAGTGGGACCGAAGGGGAGGCTTTCTGAAAGCTGCAAATAGCAAGATTCTGGTACAGAACGCCAGGCCCTAGGATGCCTGCCTCCCACCTCCCAGCAACCAGCTGTGACAATCACCCCAGCTGGCCCTTGACGGGCAGCTGCCATCCCAAAGCCCTGCGGCAGGAGGGCCATCTGTTCTTCCTTCCCTGGACTATCAAGGGCCCTGCCTCCGGCCCTGTGCTGGTCTGAGATAGCAGCTCCCTTTGGGATGGAGACGGGTACCCTGCCAGGCTGTAAGGACAGAGCTGATGGGTTGCTGGCTGAATCTGAAAGGCTGCCAAAAGGCAAAAGGCAAGTGACAACCCGTGGGGGCCTCCAGGTCTTCAGCACACTCTTCTCAACGGCAAGCCTTTCTCAGATGCAGGCCTTCCTCAGCACCGTCCCGCTCCTGGCACCTTTCAGACTCCAATCCAGCCATGCCAGGGAGACCTGCCAAGACTGCCTGAGAGCCCCGTCCAGCCAGGTCCTGACTTGGGCCTTTGGGGAGTTCAGCATTCTGCAGTGCAACCCTCTGCTCTCCTGCCTGCCCCTGGTCTTGTGGTAAATCTGGGCCCGGGCAGTGGCCAGGGCAGCAATGCCAAGCCCTGGGGATCTAGAATTCTGAGGTTAGGGCAAGGCAAGGCATGGGCTCCACATTTTGCCTTTGTCTGGCTGGGCTATTTTTAAAAGCCTGTGGTTCGAGCAGGAAGCCATCATTAAAGTTTTCCTAGGCAAAGCTGCTTTTGCAGAGGGAAATTACAGTCCTTCTCTGGGTTAGATCAGAGGAGCACTGCCCGGTTGGACAGCAGAGAACAGGGCCGAAACCAAGTCCTGTGGGCTCAGGCTCTGGAGTTGCCAGGCCCAGGCGCCAGCCTCCACAGCCCCAGCTGTGCAAGCTGAGGCCAGAGGGCTTTCCCCTGACTCCTCTGGGGTGAGAATCCAGATACCAGTTTTACCCAGTAAAGCTGAGCTGCTCTTGCGAAAGCCCCGTTTTGGCTGATATGAACACAGATGGCTGGGAATTCACACCCCGGTAAGAGGTCTGGCTGGCTGGGAGGCTTGTCCTGCCCTGTCACGGTGGAGATTCCAGGCAGGCCAACTCTTCCAAATGGTCTGTTTGGGAGGTAACTTTTTTGCCACGGTTGGCTCAGATGGTGGAGGCATGGATTCCATGTGGACTTGTGCCACAGGGGTCTCAGGTCCCCAACTCACAGGTTTCCCCGAGGGAGAGGCAGAGCCAGCCCCTCCACTGAACTGGGGCCCCCACCTGTGGGAGACCAGACAGGAGGAAACCCCAAGGGAAATGGCCTCAGGGGGTAGCTGAAGTCATTCATGTAGGTTGGGGTCTCTAGAGGAGACACCCTTTAGGAATCAGAGTTGATAGAAGGGGGGCTGTGAGCACGGGCGGCAACCCCAAGGCTTCTGGGAAGCACTGAGGCCAGGGTCACTCTGATGTGCCATCAAAGGATGGTGGCAGCCCCACCCCAGGGAGGGCTGGCCTGGCTGCCCCCTGGGTGGGTGGGTGAGTGGCTGTGGGGAGGCGGACAGGCCTGTTTTGCGTTTGGAGGCAGGGGATGGAGAGCCCTGCAGTTTCCAAACCACAGACGCCTCCTCTTTCCAAACACTTTCCCCTCCGTCAGCAGTCCTCCTGGCTCCCCTCCCAGCCTGCACGACTTACCCAACCCCTCTGCAAGAGGCCTTTAGATTCCAAAGGCCTGGTTGGCTGAGGGGACGGGGAGCACAGGCCCTTGGGAAGCACTGCTTTCTCCCATCTGGTTATATACGACCCGCTGCCTGTTTCCCGAGAGAGAGAGAGAGAGAGAGAGAGAGAGAGAGAGAGAGAAGAAGTTGGGGGCTTGTACTTGCCTATATATCTGCATAGGTATGGATAACCACAGAATTATGCCTTTAGTTGGTTTTTGTGTCTACATGTATCAGTGTATGTTTGTGATTGTGAATATGCTTGCTGCCCGTGCACATGTGGTGTGAGGGGTTGTGGATAGGAGACTGCGTATGAAGGTATATGGTACCTGTTGTGTTGCTGCAGGGCTGTATGTGTGATGTGGGCATGAGCAGTTAGCTGTGTGCATAATGCATTTGTGGCTGTGTAAATAATGGATACGAGGAACAGTCTATGTGCAGTGGCGATGTTAAGTGGAATTACTTTCGTGTATCTGTGAGTGGCTGCAGGCATGAGACCGTGGCTGTGCTGCAGCCACGCCTGTAGCTGTCAGGGCTGTGCGTGCACTGTAGGCTCTGTTGCTTGCATGTGTCCGTGTGGTTATAGAGACAGAGTTGTGTTTGGGGCTCAGTGAGTAATGGTGTCTAGAGCAGATGTTGGAGGGGACGGGGGGAAAGCCAAACCTTCGTCCCCACTCTTTTTCCAGGCTGGCGTCCTGCTCTCCTTTGCCGTGGGGCTTGAGGCCATGTTGCAGCCTGGCCCCCCCGCCCCCACAGTGCTGACCCACCCCTCCCAGCTCTGGGGAACCTTTGCTTTACATTCAGCCTGTTCTTGCCATTTCCATGACTTGGCCCCTGCTCTGCACCAGCCCCGAGGGTCCAACCCATGTTCCACACTCAGGACAGGCAGGGCTCTTCACAGCCAGTGCCGAGCTGACTCTGAGCCAGCCACAGGCAATGGCCATCCCAGAGACCAGGCTTGCTGCTGCCAGGGGCCTGAGCAGACACCAAAACATGGTCTCAGAGTCGTTCAGGAGCAAGCTTTGAAGGTGGGGGTGCGGGACACAGGCACCGCTGCTGTGCTGGAGAGGCCAGTGCTTATTGCACACCCTTCCAGCTATGTTGCCACGGCCTGAAACATGCAGGCTCTGCCCAACTCGAGACAGGAAAAATGGGACACTGCTGCCCTGGGGGTTCTGGAGAGGTGTAGAAATTTGTTCAGAGGCCAGACCCAATTCCATTACCTCCTAAGTTCCTAGATGTTGGGAAGGCCCTGAACCTGCAAATGCCTCAGCCTATGTGGCAGGCCAGGGATCCCCTGGAATCCTCTTGATCAGGCCCATCCTGAAGTCCCAGCAGACAGTGTTGGAGATGTGAGAGACTCCGGGTTGGGCCCGACACCCCTGTAGAGCTTGCTGGGCTGTGCCCTGGAGCCAGGCTGGGTGTGGCTTTTGCTTCCTTTCTAGTTTCCTGGGAGCTGGCAGGAGGAGGCTTGTGGGTTAGTCCTTCTTCCTGCTCTGACCCTAGGTAATTGCTAGAACAGCTTTGGCCAAGGAAGCACCTTCTCAGAGGATGGAGGCAATGGAGGGCGAGGCAAGTGGGGCAGCCCGTGCAGACTTAGATACACTCAGTCCTCTGAATCTGTGGCTCCCAGGGCACATGTGGCTCTTCTTACAGTCCAGCTGCCCCACTCTCATGCCCCTAACTCCCATGCCCCCTGCCCCCAGGACGCTCCTATGACCCGCTGATGCTGACAGAGCTCAGAGTTGTCCCCAGCTTCACCCCAACCCCCAAGCAGCCCCTGCACCTGCCTCCCGCCTCCCCCCAGGTGCAGAAGGTGAGAGAAGTTTGGCCAGTGAATCTGGGTTGGGAGGCCACGGGGCAGAGAAGAGCAATGGCCAGTAAGTGGAGGACTGAGAGAGAGAGAGAGAGAGGCAGCAGCTGCGGGCGAGCAGGAGGAGAAGCCAGCCCCACAGTCACCTCGGCTGTGCTGCTTGTTGACCACCCCGCCCAGGGTCCACCGGCGATCCAGGCGCCGCAGATGGGCCTTGCGTCTCTTGGACACTGGTGTGGGAGATGGCGATGGAACATGCGGCCGACAGGAACCGGCGGAGAGAATGGAAATGAGGATGAGATGGGAGGGGCAGGGGAAGGTTCACATTCCAGGTCATCGTCACCTGGACGGAGTCCTGGAGACGTGCGCCTGCAAGATGGGGATCTGACCAATGACACCATTGGCATGTAGGGAAAAACTTGGCCAGGGCCAAACCCCCTGGGTTGTGCCCCTGAACCCGGGAGGGCTACGAATTTAGAATCCCAGCACCTGAGAGGCAAAGTGGGTTCATTTTGCATCAGATGGATGCAAAGACAGCCCTCCCCTGCAGCCCCTGGGAGAGACTGCTGCTCCTACCACTGCTGGGCAGCGATAGCACCCAGGAGACCAGGGGCCCCACTGCACCAGGGCTTACAGCCATCTGGTTGCCACCTACTCACTCCCAGGCCCTGCATGCGAACCTGCAAGTGGAACAATAAATGTGCCTGGGAGGGACATGGGGTCCCTTCCTCGTGGGGCTGGTAGCTCTTACTCCTCTGAGTGTGTTGAGGTCTCTGCTTTCTCTGTCATCCCCACCAGATGGAGTGTGTGGAGGGCAAAGTCTTTGCACTTCTGCACCCCCAGGGCCTGGCACATGGCTGACCTCTAAGAAATGTTGCTGAACGAAGCACACAGGTAGATGATACAGGCCTTGGCTCGGCTTCCTCTACACAGGCTACCCACTGGACTTCTGACACTGGAGGGCCTGCCTCCCTGGTCTCTCACTGCTCCAGACCTCCTCCGTCAAGACCACCCTCTCTGGGTGGTGTCCTTACTGGTCCTCCGACTGCTGCCGCCCAGCTCCAGATGTCGCCTGATGTCCTATATGGGACACCCAAGTGGAAGAGACACCAGACCAGGGCTCCAGGGTGCCAAGGGGCCCACCACCTGGCACTGCAGAGGGAGGGTACCAGACTGGCAGTTAAGAGTCAAAAGGAAACTGTGCAGACATACCAGACCCACCAAGGCCTGCTGGGAAGTATTTGCTTTCCTAGAAGGAGAGTGGCCTGTTGGACCTGCTTCTTTATAAGCAGGAGGACTGGACAAAGGTTAGGGGTATGGACTCAGTCCAGGCCTCACTGTCAAGTCTCTACGCTGCCTGTGGTAGACCATGTCCTTCTCCAAGCCTCTGTTTCCTTTGTCTGTTCTTGGGGTTGACACCACTTCCCCTGGTGTGAAATGGGACACAGGGCTATGTGGGACGTGGATGAGGCCCTGTGTGAGGCCAGACCAGGAGGAACTCTGACAGCTGACCTCCCAGGTGGAATGTGCACATGGTTTGTGGGCAGAGGAGCTTCAGCAGATACTCAGGCCAGGGGCCACCTAAGCCATAAGAGACATTTACCCCATTTAAACTATGTACAAAGACCATCTCACTGGAGCCTCATGAGTGCCCTGCCATTGGCACTATCCCTGCTTTAGAATGGGAAACCAGAGGCACAGGGATGTCAGGGAGCCCTCTAAGCCACACGCTTAAGTGCCAGGCAGCACGTGTATCCAGGAGGTCTGGCTCTGGAGCCCAGGCCCCAGGCCCTGACCAGAGTTCCTGAGCTCCTTGGCCTGCTGACAGGGAGGGCCCAGACTGGGAGCTGATGCCAGTGCGAGCCCCCGGGAGGGAGGCAGGTCATTGTTGGCGGCTACAGGGCACCGGGGTGCAAGCAAGACCCAGGTTCTGGTCCTAGCTCTGCCACAGACTGACCGGGGGTTTTGTGGGGGTGACACCTCTCTGAACCTCCAGGTTCTCACCACTGAGTGGTGGCGGAGCCGATAGGTCACTGAAGTACCTCACTAGCATCAGACTTGGACCCTCATCATCCTCAGCGGGCAAGAGGGTGTCAACCTCCACCCCAGCCCTCCTACCCGCTACTGCCAACATTTCTGAATTTTGTACCTGGCTCCAGGAGACACACAAATATGTGCCAGAATATCTGATAATAGAAATAAAGCAAAAGAGCCAATTATCTCTTTTCTTTCTAAAGCGATGAAACAGGACTGTTAGGGAAGCTTTGATGGGATGAAGGCTTCCAACTCCCATCGGTAGGGTTCAGGGGACCTATGGTGGGAGGGTGATAGGACTGTGGCAGAGATGGCCAGAACGGGGACCAGGACAGGCTGATCTCTTAGGCACATGGCTGCAGGTGCAGAGAGAGACTGGTGGACACACCACAGCTGCTGGGGCCTGAGACTGGGTACTGAGCCCTGAGCCCTTCTGTAGAGCTGGGCAGAGATGCCCAAAATGGGATGATGAAATTCACAGCTGCTCAAATGTTGCCGGGCACACACATCCTATCAAAAGCATGCAGAGGAACCTATCTTAAGGATGCTCACCCTGGGTGCACGTGTGCTCACACACACACCTCTGAATGCAAAACTTGCACTGGCTGCCTGATTCTTGTTCCATCAAGGTCAAAATTCTCTACAACCTGCTACTACTTCTGTGCAAGGCACCCACCCTCTCTTCAAACCAGATGACATCTGTGCCTACTACCCCTCCGGTTCTTTCCTGCCCTGGACTTTTCTACCCACTTGGTGTTCTGGTCCTCTGCTATCTCCCTGACATCTCTGCTTGTTGTTGGCATAGCCTTTTCAGGCAGGACTCTAATTCCACACACACACCCTCCACCTCCAAGAGTTGCTTAAGAGCAAAATGCTTCATGGAGATGTGCGTGACACAACGCTGAAGAACCACCGGGCAGAGGAGGCCGGCCAGAGCTCAGGCGTCATGAGGACAAGCACATAGCACGAATTGAAGCCTTGATTCCTGCATCTGGAAAATAGGGTTCTTAACAGTGTCCATTCTGGGTAGTGTCTAGGGCATTCAGAGCACCAAGCTGAACACCTAGGAATGAGTAAAACCTCGGGGGGGGGCGAGTTATTTCTGTGAGGCGGGGTTATTTCTGCGAGGCTCTGGGGTGCCCCCTAGAATGTGGAACTGGGTAGGAGGCAACGCCTGGTGACCACAGACAAAAAGAAGACCTGCCCCGGCTCAGGGGCTAAGACTCTCCACTGATACGGAGGTGCAATGGAGCCACAGCTGAGATGGGTGCAGGCTCAGCCTCAGGGCTCATGGAGCAGCCAGGAAAGACCGCACCCCAGCCTGCATATAAGGGCCCTTCCCTGAGAGGCCTAGTCCTTGGAAACCTGTCACAAGATAGATGTACACTGCAGGAGCTGCAGCACTGGTTAAGGGACTAAAATAAAGCGTTCACACTGGAGGAAGGGTGGGGCTCCAACTGCCTGCCAAGCAACTGGCATTTGGGGAAGGATGAATAAGGTGCTGGCGCTTGGTGGCTGCTTACTTTGGCGTGGGCATCATGGAATCGGGCAGGGCGGGAAGGCAGGCCTGGAGGTGGCCTGAGCCTTGGGTGGCAGGCCTCCGTCCCCCTGGCTCTCAAACCTGCCCACTTGGTCTATCCCCACTGACCGTTGGGGCAAGCATTCCTGCTGCTGCGACATGGGAGGTTTGGAAGTCGTCAGGAGTAGGCAGCCAGGAACTGGGGGTGGCTCAAATGATTGGGCTTAGGCAGCCTGCCCTGGGGAATACCTGAGTCCACAGACAGGCTGGCAGGGCCAGTGCTGGCCGGGGATGGGGGCAGGGGCGTGGGGTAGACTCCTTGAAATGCAATGAGAAAAAAAACAGAGAAAGCTCACTGAGCCATAGCTAATCAGAGGGGCTGACAGTGCAGGGGCCAGAGCCACCCGTCGGTTCCAGTGACACTGAGAAATGACTCACAGACCTGCCTTCTGTGTCTGCACCCTTGGCCAGCATAACGGACACCCAGAGCAGGGCCTCTGGCAGAATGAACACAGCAGAAGTTACATGCATATAGCCTTCTAAGGGGCTGTCCCTGATACAGAGAACACACTGTGGGAGGCAAAGGTGGGTCTCTATGGGGTTCCCCAGAGGAACCCAGGGCTTCTGACGGAAGAGGGAGTTTTGGGGGGTTCTCCCCAGTCTCTGCCCAAAGGTTGCCAAAGCCTGAGATTCACACCCCAGGGGAATTTCCCTTCTAATTTTAGCCCCATGTGGGGCTAGTAGAGACAGACCTAGGATGGGAGGTGAGCTCTGGGTTGGCCTCAGTGAGATGGGATCCCGAGGGAAGGGGCTGGAACATGGTCCAACCCACTTTAGGGGTTCTGATGGTTTCAGGAGAAGAGTGGGAAAGCTGCCTCCAGGAGGAAATGGATTTACTCCATTGGCCAAGGATGGGGTGGGTGTTAATCCCAAAGGCAGCCATCTCCCTGCACCTGCCTCATTACTCCCCCCTCTGCAGGCCCTTACCTTCCCCACTCTTGGAGGTGTTGATGTCCGAGTCATCCCGAGTACCATTCTGGGCCTCCAGGTAGGTGGCAGGGACCCAGCCCTGCTCCTCAGAGGTGCTCACAAACCACCAGCCTGCAGAGGGGACAAGAGAGAAGGCAGCCATAAGAGCCCAGCAGGATGGCAGAGGCAGGGTGGGGGCCAGGGTGAGGAGGGAAGGAGCAGTGTGGAGGACGCAGGGCCAGACAGCCTGGGCACCTGGTGGGCACCTGGCCCGCATCCAGCCTTGAGGCACCTGCAGCTTGCTAAGGAAGAGGAGACCAGCACACCCCCGGAGGAGAGGGCCAAACAGACCGTGATCCGCACTGACACAAATGTTTTATTAAAAATTTAGAAATGAAACTGAAGCAATGGTATGTTCAATGTGTAAGACCCACAGTGTGGAAAGGCCAAGGGGGCTCCAGCCAAACTCAGAGGCCGTTCAGACTTTCCAAACCGGTTAGGACCACTGGTATGGCCTGGACTTTGGCTGCTTTCTCTGCTGTCAAAGGTGCCCAGGGGTAAATGCCTCACAGATACCGTCTAATGGTCACCGTTTCCATTTCCCCATCACGGGTCAGTGGCATTTTCACATCGCAGTTACTCACAGCCGCCCTAAGTGTGCTGACATGTCAATCACAGTAAGTGGGCTCTGCATCCTCACATGGCCCTTGACGGTCACGGCCAAACGGGGAGACTCACTCACTCTCTCTCCTGCTCATTGCCTCATTCATTCATCCTTCAGACAAACGCTGACTGTGAGCAAAGTGCTCTGGGCCCGAGGTCTTGGAACCCCGCTAACTGCCTCAGTCCCTTCCTGGAAGGTCCCCTCCACTCTATCCTGTCGGCCCCATCCCATTCTGATCCTTCTCTGCCTCCAAAGCAATCTGGCACTGATTCTCTTTTCTGTCCACGACAGAGCTCCCCGTTTCCGAATCTGGGTTGTTCCCTGTCAAGAGACCCCAGGGCTTCTCCCTGGGCAGCATGGAGGCTGCTTGAGGAGGTGGCTGGCTGGGGACCACTGTGCTCCCAGCTGTCCTAACAGTGGGAGGTGGAGGACGCTGCCTGGGGGCCGCTGTGACACCAACAGAGAAGGACAGAGGAAAACTGCACAGGACCTCAAAACCCAGGGCCACCTCCCAGGTCTTCCACTAGGCCCCCACCACCCCTAGTGACTGCCTCGGGATAGCAAATAGCCTGTGATCTAATCCGGAAACCACCCTGCTCAGAAAGTACCACAACACTCTGCTTGCAGCTCTGCCAAGCCTGTGAACCTCCACAACATCTGTATGGGACCATAATGATGGATACATGTCATTACATGTTTATCAAAACCCGTAGAATGTACGGCATTAAGAGTGACCCCTGATGTGAACTAGACTCTGGGTGAGAAGGATGTGTCGCGTACATTCAACAGTAACAAAGGCACCTCTGTGATGAGGGATGCTGATAATTGGAGTCTATGCATGGCTGGGGGCAGGAGAATTATGGGAAACCTTTGTACCTTCTGCTCAGTTTTGCTGTGAACCTAAAACTGCTCTAAAAAAAAAAAATGTCTTCTGCAAATATTCTCACTGTTCTGATTTTGTAATCACCAGGGAAGGCTAAATATTAGCTATATTAAGACGACGTATGTGTCCCCAGACCTAGTTCCTTACCTAGGTCTGGTTTTATAAATGCTGGTGACAGACTGAAAACAAACAAAAAACAAAATGAAACAAAATCCCAAACCAAACCAACCAACAAACAAACCAGTCTTAAAACGAAAAAAGGAAAAGAAAAAGCTTTGGACAAGGGGTCGGGACTCTTGAGGCCCGAGCTTATTTGGCTCAGGGGCCTTAGCTGGGTCCCTGGTCCTCTAGAACCCAAGGGGGATGCCTTCCTTCCCCACCTCTGCCAGATTCAGGTCGATTCCCCTGTCTTTCCCCCCCAGGCGGGATGGGTGTGGGCCACCGTCATCACACCCACAGCCACCTGCACATTCTGGGCCTACCACACATGGGGCCACTGAGGGGCTGCCTGGAGCAGTATCGCCATCCTCCTGGAGGCCCAGGCCACAGTGATGTGGCTGCTCAAGAGGCTGTGGCTGCTGGAGGCCCCAGAGAAGCCAGAAGGCATGGACGTGCAGGGAGTCTGCCCCGGATGCCTTCTCCCTTCTCTCAGCCTCTGGGGAGCCCTCTCAGGACTCCCCCGTCTCGGCCAAGGAGCCCCAGCCCCAGGTGTTCTTCCCCTGAGCTCACTGGAGGCCACGGAATGCAGCTTCTCATCTCCTGGGGCTTCCTGCTGGCTCTGCCTCCCTGACTGCAGGAGTGAGTGCATCTGGCCAACTGTATCCTGAGAGTCTGTCAGCTCCCTGGACACTGTGGTGGTTCAGAGGGCTTTTATGAACTGATGTTGGTGCTTCGGTGATCTGAACCCCCCATAAACCAGGAATCACAAGGGAACATGGAAAGAGATGGCCTGACAGTTATGTCAATAAAGCAGTGACAAAGTCAAGAGATGGAGAAAGCCCTGATTGATGTGATCTGAGCTCTGGGTTCCAGGTGTGCTAAACTTAGACCCCTTGTTGAACTTCCTAATTACAATGAGCCAATGACCTTCTTGTGTTGTTTAACTTAGCCACGGTGGGTTTCAATGGCGGGAACTAAGACAGTCCTCATTAAAGCCATCTCTACAAAGCAGTCACCAAGGTTCATGACCATAGGTCCATGACCATAGTCAAGCCTGGAGAGCAAACTTCAAGTCTGCTGGACACCCACTACCACAGGCCTCAGTGAGTGAGGACAGAGCCATCCAAGCCACTCTGGGTAAGCGATCCCCCCTGCCCCAAATTCCCAGGTAACATCCAAGAGCTCCAATCTGCAGTCACTATAATTCCCAACCTGGAGTCATTTTCAGGAGGGTCTTGAAGGCTGTAGCTCTCACACGACTCCCCAGGCCCAGGTCCCAATGCTAAAAGCACACAGTTTTTGGTTCCCACATTCCCATCAGATACTCGCCAGACTGACCAGTGCAGTTCTACTCCTGCCCAGCCAAGTCCCAGTAGGCCAAGGAAGTGCCCTGCAGGACTGGCCTCAAAGGGGAGCCATTCTTCCCAGGAGAGGTCTTCCCCAGGACTGGCCTTGGCCTAGGTCTTACTGCCATCGGACAAAATGGGGATGTGTCCCGAGGACAGCAGAGCTTAGAAGCATGAATCTTGTTGAGGATTTGCCAAGATCCCTCCCCGCGCAGCCCCTCCAGCTCCACCCTCTGAAACAACCTGCCTCCACCGGAGAATATTCCCTCCTTCCCTATTTGAGCCCATGCTTCCCAGGAAAGCAGGCAATCGGGTTGTCTCCCAGATGGCTGGGGTCACTGTCTTCTAAGCCTTCTTTCTACTTCTAAATCTAGGCTCAAATGTCATCCTCTACAGAGGCAAAGGAAGCAAGCCCCTCCATGGGCCCCAGGAGGGCTCATGCATGTGGGGGTCTTCATCAGTTCCACCCAAGCTGTCTGTGTCCTCCTCGGGTGGGAAGAGGGCCTACCAGCCTGCTGGCCTCCTGCTCTCCCCATCTCCCCCTGTGGCCATCAGAGGGCAGCCCATGCACGGACTGCCCAGGACTCAGGTCTCCTCTACTTGCTGTATCATCCCCCTACCCCCTTACTATACCCTTTGTGAACCCTTCCTCGCACATTCTGCTCCCTCCCTTCCCCGCACGGCCAGGGGCAAGGGATGGAGAGATGGATCTGGACTCCTGGGAGCAGGGCAGGACAGGCGACCCTCCTACCTCTGGCCTGCAGGGGCAGTGAGGCAGGCAGAGGCTTGCCGAGGGGCCCGATGCGTGCCCAAGGTGTCCACTGCACAGGGTGGCATGATGCTCTGCACCTCACACTGCCTGGTGTCCCATGGATGTGCCAGGGCCATCCATCTCAGTCTTTTCCACCTCAAAAATGTCCCGTGCAACAGAAGTTTCTGGGGAGCCTGGGCCACATTATCTGCTGACTGTGATCACCATCTCACCCTGGGCAGCAATTTAGGATACTGTTCTCCTGCTGTGCTCCCAAGACATAGGGCTGAGACCCTCATCGACTCCCTGACTTGGTGGTCCCTGCCAACCCTGCCTGAGAACATTGGTCTGAGCTTCCACTCCATCCTGTAATGTGCAGAGTTAGGCTGTGTGGCACCCAGCCTCAGGTCCTTTCTGCTTCAGGCTTTGCAGAGAACAGCTTGTCTTTGGCTTGGCTGTGGGCACCTCCACCGAGCAAAGATGACAGGCTCAAACACTACCCAGGTGGGCATGGGTGAGCATGGGCTGAGCCCCATGCGGGCCTCCCAGGAGCCTTGGCCGAGGCCACATGGTCAGGCCCCTGGCATAGGCTCCCTGGGCCTGTGCCCCCACCCACGGCTGCTGACAGGCCTCTCCCAGATGCCAGCAGCTCAGATGTCAGTTCCTGCAACCAGGGCTCCTTACCGAAGTCTCTGCTGCTCCACCAAGGAGCAGTTCGAGCCTGAACCCTGGGTGCAGCCCAGCGGGCCACAAGGGCTCAGGTGTCAGCCAACCCCATGGGCTCCCAGACTCACCTCCAGTGCCCGTGGCAGCCTCTTTCCTGCAGGGCTGAGTGAGTACATGACCTATATCTATGTCTGCGGTCAGTGCACACGGAACACAGGTATGCCTGTGTGTTTATTATATGTGATGAAGGTTATGGTCAGACATCAGGAAGAGCACTTGGTGTCACGCACAACTGTACATAGTTTATTTAATCTTCAAGAATCTTGTGAAATAAGCGTGACTGTCATTATCATCTCCTTGTTACAGATGAGGAAACTGAGGCAGAGACAGCTCACAATCAGGAAGAGGCAGAGCTGGACTTCAAACCCAGGCTGTCCAGTTCCAGGACCCATATTCTTAACCAGCACAGGAGTGGACGAGGTACGTGTGTACTGCACACACAAGGGTAGAGGTGGCCCTTGAGAATGCATGTCTCTGAATACCGGTACTTTGTATGTGCACCTGCTATTAGCAGTGTGGTGGTGGTTTGGTAGTCTCCTAGAGCGAAAGAGTCAGCACCCATGGGTGGCCAGGTAGTGTCACTGCCCAAAGAGTGTAGCAGGA